GCTGCGTATTGCCCTTCAGTGAAAAGTTAAGTGTTATTGCTTGCGAAAGGTTCAAAGTTTTTCACAAAACTGAAAATACCTCTTTCTTTTCTCCCAGAAGGAGTGCGTGATGAGAACTCTGGAGTGTTAATGTGAAATCGTCCTCACTGCGCAGTGAGTACATGTTAATTTGAAAGCTGCGTGACATCATTAACCCGCTGGGTCTGGAGGTATTCATTACATTTATTTAATTACGTTCCTGTGTAAGGTGTCTTGATTGATGTCTCAGCTGATCTGCACGCCACCGCTTAGTGCTGATGTATTCAATAAAACACAGGCATGTTCAACAGTGTTCTTAGGTGATACTGTTCCAGATAATTGTTGTTATAAATCTGCTACTTTCTCAGTTAGTGGAATAATCACAATCTGGGATTTATTTTTAGTTAATTGATGCCTCAGTCATCCATAATTGGATTTAACTACCTGTTTAACTACTAAACCCGCTGATTCTGAGTGCAGAACTGTGAATCAAAAATGCCACAAACCATCCGGCCGCTGCTCGGTATTAAAAGTCACTTCTTTTCCCCTAAACCCACCTGAGAAATCATCTTAACTACAGAGAGCCTTTATAATCACGTGGATCATGGTGGGAGCTTCAGAGAGAAATCTGTCCATTCATGAAAGGCAGAGGCCGGGCCAGACTCGACCAGGCTGGGCCTTCAGGGACACCGGCTGTTTGACTTGGCTCGCTGCTCGGCCTGGGTACAGGGCTACAGTTGTCTGTAGCCACAGGCTGCAGAGTCGCAGGTATTTCCTGACTAAATTTCTCTGTCATACATTTTTGCAGTTGTATCTGAAGAGACAGAACACGGCTAAAAACGAGATGCATGTGTTGGAAGACACAAAAATAACCACAAAGGCAGCAACGCTGTGATTCTTTAAATTTCCATGTGGGCTCATGAGCCTTACTAAAAGCTAAAAGGAAATTAAAAACTTTAAAACTTCCTTTTATCTAACCCAGTTTACATGTTTTTACTTTTTTCTTTTCTTTCTTTTTTGCAGCAATATAAACACCACATTTTTCCTATAGGCTGTGCCTTTATCAGAGTATCCTAAACCCCAAAAGTCTCATGCTTTCTCAATTTCCTCCATTTTTCTTTAGTGACAGCACAGATGTTGCTGTTCTCCCCACATTTGGTTTAGCGCAAGCACTAATCATTGACTTCTGTGATGTCATTCCAAGAACACCTTTCACCATTATGTTAATGCATTAAGACATTTAGAAAGAGGTAAATGCCCACCTCTGCGCACACCTGCAAGCACCTTGGTGCACACACACACTCCCATTAAAGAGGACTGACTGATGTCTTTGTACTATTTCCCTGCTCTATTCTCTCTGCTCTTCCTTGTCACTTTGGCCCCTTTCAAATTATCTGCTGGGATTAATGAATGTAATTTTCACACATTAACTTCCCCCCATTCATGCATAATGGCCCAGCCCATAACAGTGTTTAACCAGTACATCTGTCCATTGGGTGTCATCATTTAAGCCTCAGCAGGGATTTGTAATTGACAATAATTCCAGTGCTGTAAACACGACTGCTCTCCTTCGTTTCTTGCCTTCTAGCTTCTCTCTGCTGTAATTCCACCACATCAAATGCAGTAAGGAAATAGACAGCTGTCCCAGCAAACTTCTCATCCCCCGGTGAATCACGTTTGTTTAAAACATCTCATCACAGCGCATTAAGACATGTGCCCAAAACTTAGACACATCTGCTTTCAAATTTGAGCATCATTGGCTGTGTTTATCCTCATATTTGCACGTCTCTGCGAATGAGGACTTTGCAGATGAATGCACTTTGATCATTTCCCCTCTAGATCCTTCCCCGACTACACTACTTTGTCTCTACTTCTTCCCTTCTCTCGCTTTCCGTGGCTGCTTCTGCTTCTGATTTAAACACACAGCGGGGGGTTGTGGGTAGAGTCTCATGCTGTGAAGGATCTCTCTGACTCAGGGAGAGCTGAAGGTCAAACACACTCATGATCAGAACCACTGAAGACACTGAAGAGGTGGAATGAAAAAGAGTACATGGAAGATAAGTTCTGTCTCTCTCACACAGCAGCGTTCAGCACAGCTCCATCTGTAAATACCACAGTAGGTCTCACAGCAGAAAAAAACAACGGTCTGCCTGCTCTTGTAGTTTCAACAAGCCGCGCACGTGTACAACAAATTATTAAAAATAAACTTCAAGTGCTGGGTATCATCTAAAAACAACCAAAGCACATGAACAGGAGAATCTTGCTATAGTCTCTGCAGAAAATATTAAGTTCAATAAATGTGGCAACAGCATCCCATCCTTGGAAATGAGTTTTTCTTTTGTCTGCATGGCGTCTTTTTCTTTTTTGTCTTAATTAGACAGACACTTAAGTGATAAAGCAAACAAAAACAAAGAGTATGAATGAGAGAAAATCATCTGTTTCTTTGAGTGGAAAACTCCTGGAGCCCAGATGAAGGCTTTTCCTTTTCTCTTTCTTTCGCAATTTTTGTTGGAAGCATTAGCATATTTCAAAAGTCTACCAAAGAAAATAGCCCGGGGACAGAAATGGCCGATCTGCATATTGAAGACTCAACAGAGGGCGAGGAGCAAAAGAGGGGAGAGAGAGAGAGAGAGAGAGAAAATGGGAGGAAGAGAGAGAAATTCTCCATCTTCGTGATTTGAGGATGATCTTAAAGATACAATAATGTCAATTAGCTGACGGTGTCACGCTCATTATGCTGGATTAATTGCGGTGTTCGCTGCAACTAAAACAGATTATTTTCCTACTTGTCAAACAGCTCCATGGAGAGGGAGGGAGCGAGGGAGGGAGGGAGAGGGAACAGAGAGAAAAAATGTGCATCATAAGAAGGCCTCTTCACCCAGCTTCCTTCATGAATAACAAATAGAGGACCCAGTGCTGTGACCAGGCAGCACAACACATGAAAAACATTACTGCCTTGCCTGAGTCGTCTGGTTTTCTCTACATTATGCTGGTGGGCTCAAAACACGTGAAGCAGTGTGGTGCTTTTGCACGGCTTCTCTTGTTTTCCTGTTTTACCAAATACGAGACAACAATAAACTGATTTTAAAAGCTCTGACTGAAGAAGAACCTTATAATTAAGTGCAAGAATGTGTTTTTGTTTGGTACTCTCACTGCTTTTTTCTGAATCTTCTATTGTTTATCGTTTTATTTTTATTACAAATTCCTGAAAGCACATGCAAACATGTGATGGAAGTAAAGCTTGGAAAAAAGTCCAACTGGGCAAAACATTTTGGGTATCAGGGATTTGCACAATTTTTGGCTTTATTTTTTAAGTATCTCTTAAGTTATTCGGAAAGGCCAGAAAAACACTTTCACCTCTATTACCGGTATCTATCAAAAAAGTAAACATTCACAACTTGGATTATTATGAGGACTCATTCTTACATTTGCATTTTCTAGTGCTTTTTTTTTTTTTTTTTTTAAAGTTTAGCAACTTGAAAAGTGCAAACCGGGCTGCAAGGAAACATCTATGAAGATCAAACAGGTTATTTTGCAACTATTAACAGTTCTTACCAGTGTATGAATGTGAGAGTGAATGAATAGTGGCATTGTAAAGCGCTTTGGGTGCCTTGAAAAGCGCTATATAAATCCAATCCATAATTATTATTATTATTATTACCTAACCCCCCGAATAGATAGATAATTACAAAACTGTACTCTGATTACTCTTGAATGCTGTGATTCAAACTAGCTACTTTATTAATATATCAACAAAAACACACAGGTTTAAGAGAAAAACTGCTCAATCTGGCATTCAAATACATCTGATTTTTTATGGTCTTGAAAATACTTTGTTAAGAAAATTGCTCTGATATAGAAAGTTGGGTTATTGCCTGAATAAGTGTGTTATTGTGCTTTCTCTGCCACTAAATAGGAGGTTGCTGGAGTCTTAAAGGCTTGTTGCCCACCTACACCGTTTTACCAGTTTTGGTGCTAATTTTGTGAAATGATGCACAATTTAACAAAATAATTACATTTTTCTCAAATGTTTATAGAATGATCCTATATGTGCATCACTCAGTCAGTTTATGATAAGCAGAATCTGCCTTGTTTTAATTCTCCTTTCAGAACTTCTGTGCACAACAGCCTAATCAGTATATAATCTTCTACCCATATTTACTTTAGCTGATAAAGTTTTTATTATCCTTTTTATACTGCTATGCGTGATTTTTTTTTAACGATTTAATATATCCTGAAATCAGAAAAGTTTGGCACATGACTGCTGAACATAAGGCGAATTTAAATATTGTAACTCAGTTTATGTTGCTGCTTTGGGAATGGGGTCCTGTGAATACTTGTCGTTTACCTTTTGGACAAAATCCAAGATAAATCTGCTGAAAAACACAAATTAGCCGGAGGTTCACTGGCCCGCACCTGGCTCTTTCCACCAGTCACAAACCACCATGTGTCTCAGTGGATGGCTTTCTCTCTCAAGGCCCGTAAATGTGAAGAAGGAAGCCCGTGGTAGAAAATCCCAAACGACACCTTCATTTAACAGCCCATCCATAAACTGACTCGGCATGGAAACGTCCCACTGAAACCGGATTGTTTTTTTGTCTTCGTTTTGGAACTGCTGGCAGGTTTTGTGCAGCTTTAGCGCTCGCCAGTGCGGAGCGTCACGCCACTGTGGCCTTCGCTTTACCATGTGAAAGGGAGAACGCATTAAGATGCAAGTGGCGTCCAAACCCCCTGTGTTCCCAAAGCCGACTTGAGTATCCTTGATTCAAGCCTCGACTGCTCTGTGTGATACTCGGAGATAAACGTGACGGATATTATTTTGTCAACTTAAGTGACTCAGAGCTGCTTAAATAATAATAATAATAATAATAATAATAATAATAATAATAATAATAATAATAATAATAATAATAATAATAATAACGTTAAGCATAATTATTTTCGCTTTTATTTTGTTAGTTCTAGGAAGAGGTTTGTTTTGTTGGATGACTTCCCAACTTGCCTGTTTTTCTTCACATGCTTCACAGGCTATACTTTAGCGCGCAGTCAAACCATGTTTGGTCTATTTTTTTCGGCTTGATTGTAATTTTCTAGTAAATTGATGCTTTTTTCTCCTTCAGGAAGAGCTCTGTGCACCCGAGGCTCAACTGTGAGACACACCAACTCCTCTCTGCCTGTGCGTCCAATCAGCGGGAGCTCTGGAGAGCCTTTCTGTTGTAATTGGATGGAAATCGAGAGGAATACGCAGGCTTGGCACAACGTAAACACACGCTCGTCTCCTTCGCTCTGTAGAGGACGCACCGGGTAGAGCAGATGCAGTGAACTAAACAACCGATAGAACAGCAGACGCTTTAAAGGTTTTTTTTTTAAAGTCATTTAGTCTAACCCGAAGCGTTTATATCAGAGATGTGAATAGGCAAGCAGACTGCGTATCAACTCTTCAGTTTTCACGGTGCAAAGAAGGCCGTTTTTTTCATAGGCGACCATTAAGTCTGTGGATTACGCACGCCGGAGCTCCCGGGACAGAGAAAAGTTGTGAAACTATCGTTTTGCCGCACAGGAATACGTAAGAGAGCATGTTCTGCCACACTGGTTACAGCAAGCGCACGCTGCTTAACTGAAAATATAATGTACGTCTCAATGGAGTGATTTGGCACTTTCCCCCCACTAATTGGGCAAAAAAGAAAAAGAAAAGAAAACTCGTTTAGAGTGAAATAGACAGAATTTATTTATGGATTAGAGCAAAGACTATTTTAATTTTTTTTTACTCAAACACAAGAAAAGAGAAATAAAAGATATATGATTTGGGGGATGGCAACTGCCACTTCAAGCCCATACCTAGCCAGCAGCAGGATTTTATCCAGCCCGGTCCTTCACTCTGACCGGAGGGGTGGTGGTATGCAGTCGGGCGGCACCGCTGTGACCACAGTGTCTAGTGGATACAGAGGGGACCCTTCAGTGAAGATGGTGCAGAGCGACTTCATGCACGGAGCCATGGTAGCAAGCAACGGGGGGCACATGCTAAGCCATGCCCACCAGTGGGTGACATCGTTGCCTCATGCAGCAGCCGCAGCGGCCGCCGCTGCAGCGGCAGTAGCGGAGACCGGCTCTCCGTGGCCCCCGAGTTCCCAGCCACAGGATGTAAAGAGAAACGCCGGCAGGGACGACCTCCACTCGGGTTCAGCCCTTCACCACAGGTCTCCGCATCTAGGACCTCACCAGGCGCACACGGGAAGTTGGGGAGGCACCTCCACTGCGCACATCAGCATCACTGAGGGGGAGCAGCAGCAGCAACAGTCCCTCATTTACTCCCAGCCAGGAGGATTTACAGTCAACGGGATGCTGAGCTCACACACCGGGCAAAGCCTCATGCACTCGGGGCTGGTGCGCGGAGAATCACCTCGGCTGGACCACGGCAGCCACCATCACCACCAACACCATCATAATCATCACACGCACCATCACCAGCAACACGGTCTGGGCCACGAATCGCATTCAGACGAGGACACCCCTACGTCCGATGACTTGGAGCATTTCGCCAAACAGTTCAAACAGCGACGGATCAAGCTTGGTTTCACCCAGGCAGACGTGGGCTTAGCTCTGGGCACTCTGTACGGCAACGTGTTCTCACAGACCACCATCTGCAGATTTGAGGCGCTTCAGCTGAGCTTTAAGAACATGTGCAAGCTGAAACCTCTGCTGAACAAATGGCTGGAAGAGGCTGATTCCACCACTGGGAGCCCGACCAGCATCGATAAGATCGCCACCCAGGGCAGGAAGAGGAAAAAGCGCACTTCCATCGAGGTGAGCGTAAAAGGTGCACTGGAGAGCCACTTCCTCAAGTGTCCCAAACCTTCCGCACAGGAGATCAACTCTTTGGCGGACACTCTGCAGCTGGAGAAAGAGGTGGTCAGGGTCTGGTTCTGCAACCGCAGGCAGAAAGAGAAGCGCATGACGCCGCCGGGACTTCCGCGCACTCCAGAGGACGCATATTCACAAGTGGGTAGCATTGGACCTGACACACCGTCTCCCTCCATAGAGTGCAAGAGGTTGTTCAGCGATACGTGAAAGAGCCCCAAAATAACAGGGATGAAACACAAACAACAGCCTCTGTTTTATAAACATGGGTCTCAATGAAACCTTTGATTAACTTTTTATTCGCTACCATTGATCCAAAAAGTAGAATTGTTATCCAATGTTCATATCAGGACTGGACACATCACAACCGCCCTTTAGCCATCGTTATTTGGCATTTTTCTGCTCCCTGAAACAGCCTCTGGGACAAAAAAATATATTTCGGTCTAAATTAAATCTGAACAAAAAACAACTGAAAGTTATTTAAAGGAAATGTTTGGTCACCAAAACCGGAGATATTCGAGCAGAAACAAGTTATTTCCATATCTTTGTACTGTAAAAATAATAGTTCCCTTGTGATGCTGCAGAAACTGATGTCCCACATGCTAGACTGAACTATAACCTACGTTTTTAATCAAACACACCGCTTTATCCAGTGTTGAGTTGTTTCTAATGAGCAATAATTTCTCTTCATTCAAACCTGTTTCTCACTTTGTGTTGTGTGTCGGTGGATTTTTTTTTACATTTTTTAAATTTTTTTGTGGCACAGTTTAAGGTTTCAACAAGCGATTTACAGTTATTCCAATATTTGTACTTTCCTTTAATCCTTTTCCATTTAGCAAACGGTCTCTTAAGGTTATGTACAAGTTTGCTGTGTATTGTGGTGATATGGACTATTTATTTATTTTTTGCCACTGTGTTTATTTTCATGGAATAGACCAATTATTTAATAAATTTGACATAAACCTTGTGTTAGATACCGGAGCGTTATTCTTAAGGGCCATGTGGACACACACACGCACAAAGAGAGACATGCATATATATAAACACACAGAATCTCTTCATCAGAGTCATTTGAATTTGATATAATATACAATATATCCCATAAGAGATACAAAGAAGTCATAAAGGCAAAAAAAATTACATAGTCAGTCCATTTTGCTCAGGCGTCTCGTTATCATTGTTTTCATGTCTGTTTGGTAAATCATCTGTGCAAACTTCTGCCATTTTTCCCTGTTTATGACAATCTATAGAAAAGTGGCTTAATTGGTTCGCTAAGAAATTATTTAGCTGATGGACTAATAGTGAAAAAATAACCACACATTGCACCATAGCAGCTTAATTATTCTGTTGTTATTTAATTACAATTAATTCTTACATTGAGCATAAAACCTCCCAAAAACCTACCACATCATTTTGTTAAAGTGATGCTGATCCTGCAAATACCTGCTGAACCGATCACATAAGCCTGGTTTCTACATTTACGTGTGATTTTCTGCATATCAGTCCAGCCACAAACATCCTGTTGCAGCGCTGTGGACTGCAGCTCGATGGAACGCAGCCAATGGAGGTCGACTACCCCAGCTGGCAGTTCACCTCGGCAGCGGTTGCCAAGGTGACAGCGAGATGGAGTGACACAAGGCAGTGGATCTTTTGCCACAGATGATGGGTTTGGCAGATAGGCAGCAAGAAGTGCAGTACGCTGGCTGTGAAAAGCAATCTGCGTCTCTTCTGTCTGCTTCTGATCCACATAAGAATGACACACAGTACACACACACACAAGCTGATGTTACATCAGTAATAAAGATAATCGGTACTCCTAGAAAAAGTGACCGAGAAGTGCAGTTGCAGTGAAACTTGGAAGAAGGTCAAAGGTCAGCTGCTGCAGTAGCTGTTGATAAACCAGGCAGAACTGTGAGAAATAAATGCAAACCTAGGAGTTAATGGATTACTATGAATGTTACACTTATTACAATGTGAATGTGTGCTCTGGTCCTCTCCACACTGGACACCCTGTCTTAAGAGAGCATGTACAAAGACATTTTTGGGACCTTTGTCACTCTTTGCGTCCTCACTGCATATTTGGCAGGATTTAAGGCACACTCTGACTTTGCTGTTTGAAAAAACAAGAACTAGAAATGATTGGTTTGAATAACTTTTTCCAGGTCCGCCTATACAGCGATTGTCAAACTAGGTTAATTTTCAATCTTCAAAGAAGCTTAAGGAAAACAATAAGGGATGAATGGGATATTCTGGCTGTTTCACTTCCTGAGAAAGTTTTTATGAACACACATGAACCGTTCTGTTTTTACAGCAGTGTGTGAAAGTTTGTGAAACCTTGTGAAGTTTTTCTATAATTCAACACAAATAAAACCTAAAACATCTCAAAGTTTCTACTCAAGGGCCATGCAAGTGTCATATTAATGCCTCATATGCTTGAAATCTCGCGTTTCAAAGAAGTCTAAAACCTTCAAACAACATTTCTAAACATTTTCCCTTTTAATGCAATACTTTATTCTTATCAGAAGGTGGTGTAATGGATAAAAATGGCATTTATTGAACCAGGCAAGTTATCCAAGAAAACACTCTTATTTGCAGTAGTTACCCAGTAAAAGGTAAAGAGTGTTGATGAAATTGCGATTATGCCGAAAAAGAAATATTAAAAAAGGAAGCGTGTCTTTGGAAACAATACCCCAACTGGCGAAATGCCGCCCCCTTGTGGTGAAAATAGTTTTTTTTTTCATTTGGCAGAGGGCAATTCCAAAAAGTCCCTTTTACATTTGTCTCCTTTATATAACTTGATAGTCTTGTGTAAACATCAGGTAACATATTAGTGGATATTTTTACAGAAATACAGAAAACATACTTTTATGCATTACCCCAACTGCTGTATTTTTGTGTATTTGCACTGTATATACAGCTTTTTGTACCATTTAAAAATATTGAACTATCATTATTTGTTTCATTAAATTATAATTATTTCCTATGGACTGTTTGTCAGCATCACGTCAGTAGAATACAACAGTTTAAAATATGCATACTGTTCTGCTACAAAAACCAATTACACCAAGGAAGTGCTTTTTATCCTTTCAGTTGCCACAGTAATATCACAAAAGCCAGACATAAAGGTGGACAGGTGGTACCCTGCTTGCTCTTCGTATGGTTTTTAACATGATGTATCCCCACTGAGCTGCAAGCTCTCAGATGAAAATAGAGGTAGAATATAAGCTTCCAGGATTGCCGCGTGATCCCCTCAAAGCTTAGCAATGTAAAGATGGGAGATAAGGCTGGAATTGGGGGATAAAAAGCCCTTTAAAGGGTTTGTCATCACACAGTGCTAGGTGTCTACACTGAATATCAATGCTTGGATCTGAAGGTACATGCTGATGATGTTACAGTATCCTGACAGAACCCCAAACTCCTGAATCCACAGCTCAGCTCACACAAAAGTGCATCATTTACCTGCATTTGTGAGGGCATTATTCATCATTATAGCATTGTTTCCTGCATCTCTGAGCCATGGGCTGTGTGCAGTTGCAAGCTAAAGATGTTATTACCTCCCTCCAATAATAACAAGTAATATAATTGCTCATAATTGCTCTTAAAGCCTTGTCGGAGGTGCTTTACATGAAGCAATTACCATGAGATAATCCCCTCCTGTAATGGCTGTTGTTTGTGGCTCACAGTTTGGGCACAGTCACATACAGAATGCACACACCTGCTCATATCCAACAAAGTTTTAACCATTTTACTGTGGTCTACACATTCTCAGTCTCCCAGTGCTTAGTGTTAGCTATTTTAACAACGCAGCGATCAGTTACTGATTAAAGTCTAACACTGATTAACATGTAACTGGTGAAACACATGTAACACTTTCCTGGAATCAGGAGCAGCAGCGTGCCTGAATGAGAGGTGGCAAAATAAAAGAAGCACATTTTAGGTGTTTTGTTTGCACGAGAGTGTATTAAAAGTCTGGCTGCTTCCCCTCTAAATGGCTCAACATGGCTCTGTCAATATTGTTGCTCGTGTGGGTTTCTCTGCCCACTGAATATTCAGATTTGGACATTTTTCACTTTGCCTGTGTTTTCTTTTTTTCTTTTTTTGCCTGTGTGTGATTGATGGAGTACCGAAGTCTCTCAATCAGGAAGAAATTAAAGCAAACATCTGTGGAATAACGGACAGGGAAATGAATTCGCTCACCAGCGAGCTCTGTGTTGTGTGGGTGCCACTGAACGTGACGAGCATGCATGTGCCAGATCGGTGGAGTGGAACTTGTTTGATGGGCATGTTCAACACATGGGCATGATGCCAATTTAGACAAGCATGCCCAGGAAAAGAGTATCAACCTCCATGCTGAGTGTGTGAATGTAAGTATGTGTGAATGTAATTTTACCAGGTTTATAATTTAAAAAAACAAACATTTACATGGATTAATGTTTGAATTATTGGCTCTGTGGGTGCTATTTTGCACTTCTGTCAGGGCACCATCGATGTTGCATCAAAGTAACATATGAGACTGTTACCATAAAGTCATACATGCTTACATCATTGTTATTAATGTTCCTATTGTTGTACAACCTTAAATACATGTGAAGTAAATGCCCAAGCTAAATCATAAATACCCACACATCCAGCACAAAATTCTTTCATCAACTAAAGCCCACCGGAGTGCAATGCTGCCATCTGCTGGACAAAATAAACAATGCATGCTCAGATCTTCTTTCAGACTTGAACACTGATGCAAACTAGTCAAACTGAACAACACAACCGAATACAGTTAATTTATTTTCGTGTATAAATTTTAATATGTACATTGCAGATTATTTGATAAGAATTTTGACTTAAGAATTTTTGACTTAAACAGCAATTTCCTAATGTTGTAAACCTCAACATCTGGCAATAAACCCCATTCTGATTCTGATTCTGATTCTGATTAAGTCAAGAGATTTTATGGATACAGCTTCACGGCAAGCAACTGCTATAAAATTCAAATGGCATCTCAAAAGAACATCATGAACATCCCTGGCCGCTGTGTCAGTGGGGATGGTGTTCACTCTGTGTTGTAGCGTCCTGATGACACCCAGTTTGTGCTCCAGTGGATGATGAGAGTCAAACCTTAGATACTGATCCGTATGTGTAGGTTTGGTTAGGCGGAAGAACAGCACATCAAAAAGGCCCTGAGTAAATGTGGTTATCCCAGCTGGACTTTTGTCAAAGCTGGAAAGGCACCTAAAGAAAGCTCCAGCCGATCCAGGAGAGAAGGACAACCGCTGCCCAAGCGAAAACCTGTAGTGATCTCATATGTGTCAGGAGTATCAGAACAGTTGAGACGCATTTTTTTGAAACACCGGATCTCTGTGGCTTTTAAACCCCAAAACACGCTGCGCCAAAAATTGGTCCACCCCAAGGATGGGGTCCCCCGATACAAACAGAGTAACATAGTGTACGCTGTTAAGTGCCAGGAGGATTGCCAGGATTTATACATCGGGCAAACCAAACAACCTCAGGCGAAGCGGACGGCACAACACAGGAGAGCCACCTCGTCAGGCCAGGACTCTGCAGTCTATTTACACCTACAGGCCAGTGGACACTCTTTCAATGATGAGGATGTGCACATCTTGGACAGGGAGGAACGCTGGTTTGAGCGTGGAGTCAAGGAGGCCATTTACGTGAAAAGGGAAAGACCATCTCTGAATCGAGGAGGGGGCCTAAGGGTACATCTTTCACCATCTTACAATGCTGTGATTGCAGCCATTCCCCAACTCTCCGTGAATGGTACTCATGGCCTTTGGTCAGTGGGTTTTGGTCAGTGGGTTTTGGTCAGTGGTCATGAGAATTTGCATAATTATGATTAAGGAACTGACCTCACAGCCCATTGTTCCTTCAGTGGGCTGGTTTCAGTCATTATGCAAATGTACTGTTTATAAGATTGGGGAAACCTGCAGTCAGCTGAGACTGAAGAAGTCACTTGGATGAGTGACGAAACGTTTCTCCCACAAAACACTACGTCCAGATGAACAGAATCAACTTTTGGAGATATGATACATTTAATTTGAACAAGAAATTTTAAGTGCATCTGATAACATTTGGATAATTAAATGCAAATCAAAAGAATCATGTTGTATTAGCTGAATATCATAATGTTGATCTAACTAACCTTCTTGATTTAAATTGAGAAGACTAAATAAAACCTACTCAACCAAAACAAGCTCTACTTACTTTAAGAAATAACATGTTGTATTTACTCCACCCAGTTATGTCAACCGGTTCCACACAACTGGGTTAGTGAAATATAAAATGTATGATACATTTAATTTGAACAACAAATTTTAAGTAAATCTGATAAATCTACTCACCCAAAACACGCTCGACTGAAACTTTAGGATTAAATCACTTTAACAGAATTGCAACTTACTCTATTTAAGTTTGGAAATTTAAAAAAAATTGAACACAAGTTTATTCAGTTAACCTAACTTTAATAACACTTTGTGTAAAACTTGTTGAAGCACACTTTGAGCAATTCAAATGCTTCTAGATCTTTTTTCCTAAACAATCTTTACATATATTCAGGTGCATTTTAAGTGCAGGAAGACAAGATACAGAATGTCATGTTAAACTGAAATGATTAAAACTGGAAAGCGTTGAGATTCCAACATTTTTAACATTAACATGACTTAATTTAAACTTGATTGCACTGTTAGACTTTTCATCGCCACTTTACGGTAACATACTGGCGTCACTGTTGCCAGCGTCATACCGTGTTACGGTAGCTTACCGTTCTGCAGGATGATACCCTTTTGTGCTGGTGTGGTATAATACTCTTGGACAAATTATGGTAACGCATGACCTCTGTCTCCTCTTGTGATTGCATGCGACAGTTGGAGTGGAAATCATTCCCAAGCTCCAGAGTAATGGTGTCATTGGTCTGCCATCTAAAAAAAAAAAAAGAGAGATGGTGTTAGATTCAGTGTCTACTTGCAAAGATACTGAAATTCCTCTATGATGCTCTGTATAGTGCTGGTTGGCAAGAGCATTTTAGCCTGCATTTTTAAATGACACAAAGTCAACTGTCTTCTAATAGATTAACTGTGTCCTGTCCTTGTATTATGGCAAATCCCCCAATTTCTTGTTGCCTTGACTGCTGAACTGTCTACTTATGTTTTCGAGCAACCTTCAAATGGACATAATACTTTCCCCCCATCTTTGATATGAAATCTGAGAGGGGCACAAAGAGCTGTGAAGTTTTGTGCAGCATACCCACATCCAGGAACTTGACAGCCGAGGTCACCAGTGAACTTATAAAACTCCTCCTTAGTGGTCTCCCTTCTTGTTCTGTGATTCCTAGGCATATGTGAATGAAGGCAGAAAATGTTCTGAAAGTGGCAGGACAGTTTCAGTTCCACAAGAAAGCCTATAGTTAGCTACATGTTTGTGGCTTTTAACATGCAAACTGAACAATATATATTTGCATGCACTGAAGCCACAAAATTTAGAAATACACATAGTTACAAAAAGTTCAGTGACCAATTATCTTTCCTAAATGACATATGCAATGCAAAAAGTAAGTATTGTCAATAGGGACCAATTCCCAGTTTTTACATGATCAAAATCATTCACAAAAGGCTTCAATAAACAGAAAATGAGAGACAAGAGAGCAGTGCACAAAAATGAAAAGAGATTTGAGCTCGACTCTTTAATGGGTTTAACATGACTTAGTCAGCACTCCGCACCGTACAGGTAGTACAAGCACACCTGAAAACACTGACCAGCTAACAGCTTTAAGCATTTGGGCGCAACCTCGGTAGTTCACCGATTCACCTGTTGCAAACGTCCAAGTTTCTATCAAGTCTCATAAATCCATCGGCAACTAT